GCTTGTTTAAAATAACCGATGCTTTTTATCTCTAGCATCGATTGTTTCAATAACTGATGCAATTGAGCCAGTCTATTTACTTATTTTTGTAGTAGTTAGCATAAAAATTCAACACTTTTTTTCAAATAACACTGAATAAGTTTTTTACCAAAACTAACACTAAATTAATTAGTAATTAATAATATTTTTTTACTAAAACGCCCTTGTATCTTAATTACGTTGTCCTCTCTAATCATTCCCTTACTTTTTAGTTATTTTTTCCACGTCACCTATTCATTTTTACAATTAATTAATTAGATATTCCCTCCGTCTCAAAAAGATTTACACATTTTAAAAAAAATTGCGTCTCACAATCCCTTACCCATTTTCATTAAAAAACTACTTTTACCCCTTACTTTTTCAAACCTTACCTATCACATCATACCTTTTTCCTAATAATCTATAAATCACATCATACTTTTATCCATCACATCAAGGGTATTTTTGGAAAGTCAACACAAAATTATCTCTCCCTTAATTTCTACTTTAGTCAAAACGTACCCATCTTTATGGGACGGAGGGAGTACTAGTTATGAAAATTAAAACTTGTGGTGCTATATAGAAAAATTTATTATGTTTCTATTTAAATAAATTTTCTTTTCCTAATTTTTAATTTAAACAACCTGCACTCTCAACATCTTCATTTTACTCAAACACCTATTATTTACCTTTAATCAATATTAAAAATAAACCACAAATCTTCATGCACGCTCACGCACACATGCACAGAGAGTAAATAATACTCCCTCCGTCCCATGAAACATGCGATGTTTTGCTTTTTGAAGAGATTTAAGGGAGTGTATTTTGGTATTGAATTTCCAAAAAACTAAAACAAGAAATCAACTTTCACCTGAATACTTTCCAAAAAACTACTTCGATAGTTCTCCACCAAACTTCATTTGAGTTTACAAATTCGGGAAGAAGTGCACTCAACTTATGCCTAAAAAAGCATTCGACACTGCACACACTTTTGCTTGTCATAAGAACTCGTCTCTCATCATCCATAATACGCAAACTTTGATCAATTTTAACCAAATTCATATGGGTGAGACAGAGGTCAATGAGGCCTTCAATGTGTTCGATATGAGGCTATTATTATATCCGAACACATGATATGTTTTTTACAAACAAATGCATAAGCCCTCGAACAATCCCCTATATTTCAACAAAAGAAAACAATTTTAAAAACAGTGATAGATTATTATATCCAGACAACAGAAACTAAAACAAGAAATCAACTTTCACCTGAGTACAAAATTGCTCGGGCCGGCAAGGTTTGATCTCTTTCTCCATTTCTTTTTATGATTATAATTATTGTTGTTGTTATTATATAAATAATGATAATAATAATAATAATAATAATAATAATAATAATAATAATAATAATTTTACATGAGTTCGTATTTTATAAGTCAAAAGAAAGCCTGGGAGACTAGAACAGTACAGATTAGATCAGTTTTAGTCTAAAAAAGCAAACGTAGCTACAAGCCTGTTATGTACCATATGATGCATTGGTCTGAGCAAATCAAAGCTTATCATTAGTTCCCTGGGAGCCTTATCGTGCTTGTCACGTGGGGTTGCTAGATTTTGGAATTTGTTATGAGAGGTGACCGGAACCCGGGGACCTAAGAGGTTTGGGGGCCAAGTTGAATATTCCCAGACCTTTGATCAGATTTGAATTGGAGTGCCCTCACTAAAAAGGTTGAGTGGCTTGCGTGTTATTTTTTATGCTCCTACCAGTTGCTATTTGATCCTTTTTTTTCCAGTGTTAGTTATTATCATGTCTTGATTTCCATTCCCTCTCGTCAATGACACAACATCATTTTTTATGTATAAATTTTTTGAGGAACAAATCGATTCAAAGTTGGTTGAATATTTTCCAGATTATCACATGGACATGTTTTTCCAGTTGTGTATTTGCAGACAAATGAGGTAAGCGAAAAGGCGTAATTTTTTTTAAAGTTTCTATATTGAACTAATATTTTGAGCTTTTTTTTAAAAACAAAAACTTCTTTTGCAGAATGCTAAACGATGAGGATTTGATGCACATGTCTTCGGTTTATTCTGGAGGTGACTAAAGCTTTAAATTGTACTCATTATTGGTCAACTGTTTTGTTTCTTACAATTTTCTTTTTGTTGTGGGCAGGGGTTTAGTGAAATCAATATACTTGAAGGTACCTTTTTTTTACTCAACTTTTTGGCTTCCTTCAACGCTACCTGATTTGGGTGTGATTACGTTTTTTAAGCTGTACTGTATTTTGTAATGCTAATATCGAGTAGTGATCACTAAATGTTTAAATCGGATGGTTGCTTTACTTCTTGCGGTCTCTTGAGAGACCCTGTCTTCCACTGAGAAGTGACATTGAATCATGAGTCATGATCATGCAATTTTAGGTGCATCTTTGGAAGTAATTGCTAATATCACACCAATAGTTTTTGCTGAGTGTGGTTCCTTTTTGGCTCCTTGTTTTCCCACTGACTAAAGCTAGAGAAGAAGTAAAAGCACATTCACAAAAGTTTGAGTGCTTGTTCCAGGGACTATGCTTTTACCTAAATGGCCGCTTTTTGGATTATTGTACCTTCTGATAATTCAATTCTTAGATGAACCTTTTTGCTCTTCTCCTGTACTTCCAGTCCTCAAGCTGGGGGCCTAACACATTGCTTTTGTATTGTTTTTTTTGTATTTAGGCATTACCCTCATCACTGGATGGTTGGGCAACCGGAGACTGCGTTTGTTTGAGTGACGGAGAATGCAAATTCTAATAACAATATGTTCTTCTGGAGAAGAAATTTGTCCCATGAATTCCTTCTTGATACTGCTCTCATCTATTAGATCACAAGCAATGGCGTGCTGTTTTACATCCACACTCTGCCACATAGGATTTGACACGGTTGAATTAGGAGGCATGAAGGGGTAACTCTCCTTTCTGTGGAGGCGTGCGAGGCATATACTTGCTCCAATTCCTTTTCTTTTTTTTTATTTTGGAAAAAAAGAAGAAATACTTCTTATTTAGTTATTTTTAGACATATTTTTACGATACAAATATATGAAAACTAATTTATAATACGGAGTAATAAATTTCTAAAAAAATATAAAAAGTTACAAAAGGCGAAACTTCCATATTGTTTTTTAAATTTTGTTTTTTGGATTTCAAAAAAATTGTTTTCTCCTTACAAGAAAGAAGAATTCTTTAGAGTACATTTATTTTTTTGCCTCACTTTTAGTCTTTCATTTGTTTCTTTTCAACATCAACGTTTTCAAAAGGTGAACCCATTTCAATAGTGTGAACATCAACATCTTCAATGAGATCAATTTTACATAAACTTTCAACAATTTTGCCATCACACCTGTCTTTAAAAAAATCATCAGCATTGTTCGTGTTCACCATGGTGTAATTCTATTAAAGAAAACTTATCAAGTGTTCCTCTATAAGATTGTGTAAGTTTTTCAAATCATTTTTTGTTACTTTTTACGTTTAACATAGTTTGAACTCATTCATTAGGATTCATTCAACAAGTAAAATATAATAAAATGAGAGAAACGGGTAAGTTTTGATATGTTTATTTTTGATAAAAACAATAGCATCCTATACTAATAAAATTAGAGAAACTTAAATCCTTAATTACCACTCCACCTCACCATAACATTTTCAATATGACAGTTCCATCATTCCATGAACCATTTGAGTCAGTAAAAAATAGTTGTTTCAAAAAAAAGATATTGAAAAAATTGATTTTTGTATATCAAATGGCAATTCATTGGTAATTCTAAATAACTTCAATTTAGATTATTTAACTACATGTTCACTGCCTTAACAAAAGCGCCTGTAGCTCAGTGGATAGAGCGTCTGTTTCCTAAGCAGAAGGTCGTAGGTTCGACCCCTATCTGGCGCGTTAAAAAAACTTTTTTACCGATTTTTTAATTTTTTGGAAACTCGAATTTAAGTCTAATTCAAAAACAATTTGAGTTGAAACCAGGCCCGGCCCGGCCCACACTTTTATCGGGTCTAGCCGGAATAAAACTGACAGTACCAAGCGCGTCGGGAGTCTCTCTAGGGGTGAGCATATACCATACCGTTACCGAAAATTCTCGGATTACCCGTACCAAATTTTACCGAACCGAAAAATCCCGAACCGTACCATACCGATTTTTCGGTATGGTACCATACCGATTTTTTAATTTTTTGGAAACTCGAATTTAAGTCTAATTCAAAAACAATTTGAGTTGAAACCAGGCCCGGCCCGGCCCACACTTTTATCGGGTCTAGCCGGAATAAAACTGACAGTACCAAGCGCGTCGGGAGTCTCTCTAGGGGTGAGCATGTACCATACCGTTACCGAAAATTCTCGGATTACCCGTACCAAATTTTACCGAACCGAAAAATCCCGAACCGTACCATACCGATTTTTCGGGTTGGTATTTGGGAATGGGAATGGGCTCTGCCCCGAACCGAATTTCCCGTATCGAACTACTATAGCAACTAGCAAATACTACGTACCCGTAGTATATATTAATATATATTCCCTCCATCCCTTTTTGATTACAATATTTCCTTTTTGTGTATATTAATAATAAGTCAAATCACTCAAAAGTTTCCCAAACTACCCTCTAATTTCATGTTGTGATCCATCACGTGAGAAAGGCTCAAAGTGGGTTTAAATAAAGCAAATATGAATAGTAAAATCACTGTTTACATGATGTGGGAGGGGGTAAATGTTACCAAATTTAGTTTTTGTAATTTATTTTGGGATAAATAAATGAGGGAATATTGTAATCAAAATAGGGACAGAGAGTATATTAAAGTCCAGTCCACTGGTCCAGCCAAATTTGGGAATGGGAATGGCCTAATTTTTTAAATATTATTGTATGTATATTGAAGTCCAGTCCAGCCAAAGCCCAAAACTCCCTAGCCCAGAAGCCCTCCTATTTGCTATTTCCGTTCCAGATTGAAAGCGGAACTGTGGAAAAGTGCCAAACTCTCAAACCCAAGCAGTAGCACGAACGGAAGTCGCCGAGAGAGAGGCCAGAAGGAAGTTGCGGAGAGAGAGACGCCGTCGCCAGCCTGCACGCTCAACTGCTGCTGCCCGCCAGTCACCGAGAGAGAGACGCCGCTTTCCGCCAGACGCCACCTCGCCGGAAATTCTCCAGCCTCCAGGTTCCAGAGTCCAGGTACGGAGGTAAAAAAATACTAATTTCAGAATTTCTTTAAGAATTTTATATTTTGTTATGTGTAAATATGAAAAATCTTTAATCTTTATAAATTTATGGTATGAATTTGTTATGAATTTTTGTTGTGAATTTGACAATTTGTTATATGAATTTGTCATGTGAAAAATTGAAATTTTTATTTAAAATTTTTGCTAATTGTTATGAATTTGTTGTGAAAATCTGAAATTCTTTTAATTTAGAAATATGAAGATCTGTTTTTTTTTGGAAATTTAAAGTTTGTACTGGCTACATTTTTTCTTTATAATTTTGTACTGGCTCCATTTTAGATAGCCTCTGCTCCATTTTTTCTTTATAAATTTGTATTGGCTACTGCTTATTTGTCATGAATGGGCAGAATTATGGCTATGCCACATTTATGATTTCCACCCATTTTTTGCTACTGTAATTGGTAGTTTGTTTTTGGGAAAAGTAGGCTTTCCTTTACAAATCCTTGTTGTTTTTAAAAAAATAGTCTTTGTTTAAAATGATTGTTTAATGAGAACCATAATTTATGCTATCAAATACTCCGTAGAAGAGAAGAAACTTGTCACCACAATGTTTTTGTGGGGCCTCAATAATGTAACAGAACATTTCCTTTGGCTAGTTCTCTCTCTACAGTGCTTATTTTTGCCTTTTTTGAAGCTACTGCTTTTGTAATGCTACTTGTGCTTTTGTAATGCTTTTTTTTTAATCTTTTGTACTACTGCTACTGCTATTTACATTTACAGTTTTTCTATTTAAGACAAATGTTTCTACTACTATTTTTATTACCAATTGTGTATTATACCTTGCTTGTTTAAAAAAATCCCGAAAAAATCCCGTACCGACATTATTTTTTCCCGAACCATACCGTACCAATATTTTGGGATCTGTAACGGTAAAATATGAAATCCCATACCGAACCGAAAGTTATGGTACGGTATCGGTACGGGCATAATCCTGTCCCATACCGTACCATGCTCACCCCTACTGGAGTCTCTCGACGGCTCCCGCACTTCTCGGATTAGCCAATTTCACAATCCATCTTCCTGGTTCTCCGGCTCGATTACTTCTATTGCAAGGTTCCTGTGTAGTTTCAATTTTTCAGTCTGTTAACAACTACTGAATTTGTTTATAAAAAAAATAACTACTGAATTTCTATTTTTCAGTTTGTTTTTGCTTCCGCAGATCGGGTTTCATATTGTTCCAAGTGGTACGTCCAATTACGAGCAAGGCGCCTTTAGTAGCCGGAAGGAGTCAAAGCCGTCTGCTGTGGTTTTGTGATCTTCGTTATTCATATTGGTGTTCATAATCCAAGCGATTTTCAGAATGTCAGAGAAATTCTCGGCGACATTGAGAATCGGGGATCTGAATGATTTCATAGCTCCAGCTCAAGGCTGTGTTGTTTCCCTAAAAAATGAATCTACTAGGCTCGTCAAATCTGAGGTATCTAGATAGGAACAGTTTGTTTCTAGGATTTTGGTACTATTTTTTTTATATATTTTCAATTACCTTGCAAGTGTATTTTTTGATTTGCGAATTCTGATTCAACTTTTGCTAAGATGGGTTGGATTGAATATGCCAATGATCTTTTATGGAATGTTTTGTCTAGTGGATTGTTTACTAGTGATAATTTATGGTATTAAGAAAAATCACCTCTTTTTAATTCCTGGCCATTATTGCAGTATTACTTCATGTTATTTATCCCAAGATAATTGGCGAGTTTTATGGGATAACTTTTTTTTCCATTTTTTAAAATTATGGTGCATGCGCAGCGCTTGGGGAAGGAGGTTGTAGCTTCAAAACCCTCTGTGCAAAGTGAGGCTGTAAAGATTTCTCTCAAGGACTGTTTAGCATGCAGGTATTTGCCAACTGCCACACTCTATGTTTCTTCCATTTTAACAACATCTACACTATGCTTGCATTTAGAGGAGACATGTATATTTGTATGTCACTTTAAGGTATTAAGGTGTTGTAACTTATATGTGTATTCCCTGTGTTTTTAGACCCGACAATGAACCTTAATTTAAAGGATTTTCTTTGGTCTTCTCGATTTACATGTTAGTTCCTGCTTTAAGAACCTCTCAGCTATGAAGTGCTTAGCTTCAGATTAGAAGGGGTAGAAAATAGCTATTTTGAAAACTATTTACTATGCATGTTGTACTCACGTATTTGTTTGCACTTTGCACTCTTCTGCACCCAATGGGTGTTTTGATAATGTTTCCTTTTTGTTCGAATTGAAGCTTGGAATTCAAGCATCTCTAAGTGTTTGATCTAATTTATGTCCATCATGCAGTGGATGCGTTACATCAGCAGAGACGGTAATGCTCGAGGAGCAGAGCACTGATGAGTTTCTTTCAAATATAAACAAAGGCAAGACAGTAGTTGTCTCTCTTTCTCCTCAGTCTAGAACTTCACTTGCGGTTCACTTCAACATTTCCCCACTTCAGGTTTGTTGTAAGAATGCTTTTCATCTTCTATTCGCGATGATATCATTGCTTCATTGCAATCACCTTAATCCCATCTATGCAGGCTGGCATCATGAAATCTGTTGTGTCAAACTGTCAATTAATTTTTCAAAATTAGTTACCACACACACACAAACATTTGGAGCATGATGAACTGTGCCTTGTTTACTTTTCAGGCCTTTAGGAAATTGACAACATTTTTTAAGTTATTGGGTGTGAAGGCTATATTTGATACAAGCTGCAGCCGAGACATAACTCTTATTGAATCTTGTAATGAGTTTGTAGAACGTTATAAGCAGTCCCAATCAGCTGGTGGAAAGGAATCAAATTCTCGTATACCTATGATATCTTCTGCATGTCCAGGTACTTTCTGGTGTAACCCATGCATCTAATCCCCCTTTGCATAGACATCTGTTTTCTCTATATTGTGCTCGCATGTAGATATCTTGTCATCTTCGATCCTTTGTTCCATTTCTATTTTTACGGATATGCTTGAAACTGTAGGGTGGATATGTTATGCTGAGAAAACACTTGGATCATACATTCTTCCTTTCATTTCCTCTGTCAAGAGCCCCCAACAAATTATTGGTGCTGTCTTAAAGAATTTTGTATACCAAAAGCTAGATATCAGGTGACGATTTCTGCACTGCATATAGAAACATTACTTAGTATGCTGTTATGTATGGATTTTATTACTCCGTACTTTTACCATTTGTTTTGCACGGGCTCACATACTCTTATGTAAAAATATACTTTGTGTACATATGAATTTGATGTTCTATAAAAAGGTGAAATTAAAAATGAATGAAATATGTATAAAAATTGTTATTACCTTACATCATCACTACATGGAGAACATAAAGTTTATATACATGTGTATCCATAGAATGAGATTTCTTGAACTTAACTTATACACACGCACACACAAAAAAGAAATTACCAGTACTTGAAAAACGTGTTTAGATAATAGTGGAGAACTATATAAAAATGTGAAAAAAATAAGCAAACATAAGAACAAAAAATGATTGTTCTTCCAAAAAAAAGTTAAATACTAATTTAAAAATTAAATTATATTGCAATAGGTGCGACTTGTCAACATCTAAGTTCTAGTTTTTATTACATTAATGTAATTAGCATTTTTTATTTAATTATTCTTAAGATCAATGAGTTTAATTAATGCGACCATAAGTCACACAATGTCATCCATAAATTTCTGCATAAATACAAATTTTAACATCACAATTAAAACACTCAATTTTATGTATATGAATACTATTTGAGAATTTATGTATATAAATATTATTAGAGCGTCAGTTTATGCTATATAATCTGGTGAAGTAAATATCACATCAATTTAATTTAATGAATTTAAAATAAATTACACATTAAGTTAATTAACACTTCATGTCATTTTATTGAAAATATATTGAAATAATAAACGAAATTAAATTTCCCGTCCTAAGTTAAGCTTCCCGTTTACTTTTTCATAGAGTTTAAGAAAAAGTGAAATTGTTTGGGTGGGATTTATGCAAAGGAGAGAGAGAATTAATGTGGACCGCCCATTTCATTCCTTAAGGAATTAGAACTTTCTTTTGGGATGGAGGGAGCATGTGTGTTTTGTGTGTGTGTGTGTGTGTGTACACACACACACACACACACATATACACAATTATACATACATGTATATATATATATATACATGTGTGTATATATATACATATATATGTACATATATACAATTATACATACATACAATACACACACACACACACACATGACGTGTGTGTGATGGTTTGTGGATTGCCGCATACCCTCATTCGAGGAGTAAACTTGTCCATAAAGAAGTGGAATGCTGAACTTTTTTTCAAACATTTATTTCTGAACAGGCCCGAGGAAATATACCATGTGACAGTGATGCCGTGTTATGACAAGAAACTTGAAGCGTCACGTGATGATTTTAAATTTAATGTGGATGGTGATGGTGAAGAAATTAAAGAGGTAGATTCGGTGTTGACCACGCGAGAGATTTTGGAGTTGATACAGGTACAACCATACAACCAAAGATTCTAGCTCTTACTTCCCTGTATTATGGATTCAGAGTTCTGTTGATATATATTATTGAAATTATTCTATATATGTATTTCTGATGTATGTGATTGCATTTATTTGTTAATCTGATTTACGTTATTGCACTTGTATGGTCTGATAAGTTTTATTTATATACATATCATAAATGTTATTGCGCTTATACGTCAAACCTTTTTCTATTATATTTTGAGAATATTTTGACTTTTGACATATGTCCCTTTCTCAAATGCAGTCGAAGGCCATTGATTTTAAAGCCTTGGAAGAGTCTTCATTAGATAAATTGTAAGTCCGAGATATGTTCTCCAAGGCATCCTTGTTTATTTGGTGTTGTATAATTCATAATTAAGTAAATTTTTTATAATTTCAAGGCTAACAAATATTGATGATGAAGAACATCTTTATGGAGTTCCTGGGAGCTCAGGAGGCTATGCAGAGACAGTTTTTCGTTTTGCTGCTAAAATACTGTTTGGGAGGGAAGTTGACAATCCTTTGAAGTTTAATATAATAAAGAATTCAGATTTCCAAGAAGTGAGTTTAGAGGTAAATCTCTATCATGCTGAGTAGGCTACTAATACTCCTTCCGTTCTTGAATTAAGTTCTTACTTTCCTTTGTGGAATGTCCCGAAATTGTTTTCCCACTTCCTCGTTAAGGAATAATTGTGTGGTTTATATGTTTTCTCTCCTCTGCACAAAACTCAATCACCCACATGAGAATTTAATTTAGAACCGGAGGGAGTCTGATTTTTAGTTGCTCATCAATGGGTTTTATAATTGGTGGCTGTGAATAAGTGAATAGCCTATTGACCTATTCAGGTGGAGGGAAAGACTGTTCTCAAATTTGCACTGTGCTATGGTTTTCGAAATCTGCAGAATGTGGTTAGGAAAATCAAAATGGGGAAGTGTGATTATCACTTTCTAGAGATCATGGCTTGCCCTTCAGGTTTTCCCTCTCTCTGGTGTGGTTCTAGTAATTGTTCATCTGAACACTAGGAAGTACTCTGTATATGATTTTTTTCTGAACATGTTATAAACAGGGTGCTTAAATGGTGGGGGTCAAATAAAACCAAATCCTGGTCAATCTGGGAAGGAGCTTATCCAGATGTTAGAGAAAGCTCACATGGAAAATGTAAGTAAATTATCTGCACCTATGTTTTAGCCTTTGAGTATTCTTATTGTATAATATTATCTGCTATGCTCACACTTTGGTTTCGATGATGTTCATGGTTCTAAAGTCCCCGTCTAGGCCAGCCTCGGACCCCCTCCCCAATTTGGCCCCACCTAACCTAATACATTTAAACAATTCTGGGGAAAAAATTGTGGGATAAAATGGGGAAAGATAATTGGGAAATTGAAAGAAAATGGGAGGAAAGTTTTGGGTAATAAAAGATCCCAATAAATTCATTTTAGATTTTTCAAACTCATTATATTCATTTCTAATATGTGAACACAAAAAAAACTCTACTGTACATTAGTTAAAAAATAATGATAACATTAATGCTAAAGATCTTGTGGCCAAGTGACATAGCTTTGGTTCTCCCAAACGGGAGGTCACAGGTTCAAACCACTCTTTGTGTTTCAGTAGGTTGAGCAAGTATGTATCAACGGTTACAACATTTTAATAGAGTTAATGGGGCTCAAGGAAAAAAACATTAATCACACTTTGTAATTCATTTTCCTTTGTATTTTCAAAGGCAAGGCCAAACACAAGAAAATAAAACAATTATTTTATTTACCTTTATATCTTCTGAGATCTAAACACACCCTTAAGCCTTAGCTTTGGTTTAAAACTTGATCATCTATACCCTATTCTGCCTCAATGTAGGTCTTAGTGGCCAACCCATCCGAGAATCCCATTATAAAGAGACTATATGAGGAGTGGCTTGGGTATCCCGGCTCGGAAAAGGCCAAAAGGTACCTTCACACCGAGTACCATCCGATAGTTAAGAGTATAACTTCTCAGCTACAGAACTGGTAGTACGTGGAGATGAAATGTGTCGTGCATCGTCTAGCTTTGCTCCTCTTTCAGCACAGTTTTGTAGATAAAATGATATTCACCTGTGGTTTTCTGGTATTTATTCATTTTACAATATTGCACTTTGTAAATAATATCTCATGAATCGTCATCTTCGACTTTGTGTTATTAATTAAGCTATAACTAAACCTGTTAGCCATAGGTGGAATAATGTTTAGTATGTTTGTGGGGAAACTAGTGATGGGGGAGAGTTTTGTCTTTAGGTTAGGCTATTTATGCAAAGTATAAACTCCTCTCATATGGATTTAGTCGTTTAATTTCTTGTTTTAGTTTGTTTAAAATTCGTGGCATGGGTTGTGTATTCTATATAAACAAACTATGACTCTATATTGTCGACATGAATAGATAACAAACTCATTTGAAAGAATTATTTGACATTTAAAACTTACTCCATTGGTTCCAAATTAGATAGTTTGTTCACTATTTGCGAGGTCAGATTTTATTCATTTTATCTATTTTCGTTAGACATCTTATAAAATAAAATAGTAATGTCACTACTTGTTCTATAGAGTTTTTTGATATACTCTCTTTGTTTGAAAAAAGCTTCCAGTTTGACTTCACAAAAAATTTAAGTAAAATGACAATGTGTGGTTGAAAGTGATGCAAAAAATATAGAAAAATTGTGTCGAAGGTTTTCATAAAAGAGGAAAGATGAGTTGTTTTTTGGATGTCCTCTAAATGAAATAAGGAGTCCTTTTTTTGTGATAGAGAGTAGTTTTTAAATACATAAAATTTATTTTTAAATTTCACTTCAATTGTCTAATATGTTAAATTAAGAATAATTTCAATCAAATATCATAAACAAATCAAGTCATATAAAGTGAGATGGCGGGATTATTTCTTAAAAATTTAGAATTTCCAAAAGACAAATTTACGAGTGCAGAGTATATCATAAAATTGTGGAGTACTATAAAACAATGAATTAAAATATAATGCCAAAAAATATCATAAAATGTTAACATATAATGTTAAATTGCAGACATTTCACAATACTATTATGGTATGTTTGAGAACATGGATTTGGATTTCAAATTCAAATTTGGCTTAAATTCCTTGTTTGGCAAACTTAAGCATTTTGAATTTGAATTTGAATCAAATTTTATACATTCAAAACAAAGCTTAATTTGAAATCCATGCACTTTCCATTGTCATTTGAAATTCAGCATTTCAAATTTTAGAATTGAAATACATGAAATGAAATGCTAGTTGCCAAACACTACCTTACTACATAATACTACGTATTATTTGGTAGGTTTTATTTTGATACAAATTTTATCTTTTAGTCTCGTTTGTATAGATTTCATTCGGGATAAAGGCGGTGAACTTTTCTTCCCCTTGGCCGATAGGCGGCATGGAGTGCAACTTAAGCGACAAAAATATTCTGTCTTAGATTTCCGATAGCATACACCTAAATCTAAATTTGCATCCTATTTTATTAAAGATTATTCTATAATATATATATATATATATATATATATATAAAGAATATTCTTCGTGGGTCATCACGTAAAGGAAGCTCAGCCCATTGGTGACTGAAGTTATTTTCAATTCAAAATATTTTAAAATTGATATTGAATTAAAAAAAATGAAATTTAAATATTTAAAAACTACATTAGAATTTTTACAAAATAAGAGATGGAAAGACTATATATTAATTTTCCAAATGGGTAGTGGAAATATGTAAAGAATGTGGTTAAATTTTCCCAAAAGGAGTAATTTATAGTTGGAAAAAAAATATCTGAAACAATTCCAACTTTAAGCGGTCTTTCAAAAATAATCACATGAGCCAAACTTTGGGTGTGTGATTTTGGGTCGTCGTTAATTAGAACCCTAATGCTTGTCTAACGATTCTAGATAGTAAATGCTTGTCTTGCATAACTAACTGAAATGTGTTATTATTTCAGATAAATTTATTTTTTGGATTTTTTTTAATATTTTAAATTTTAAATAAATTTTTTAAAAATAGAACCGTACGAAGTTTTTCTTTTGCTCGAGTAGTTAGCAGCTCACTCCCTAATATTCATGGTAAACTACACCTAAGCTCCATTCCCAACGTCATTAATAAGTTGATAATGTAGGAACAAGTAATACATTGTAATGAATTTAAAGGAGTGAAAAATTAGAATAGTACAAGTTCAAAAAAATCAAGTTTGACAAAGTAAAAGTTTGATAAATTTTTAAAAAATGACAATTGTGCCACTTTGAATTTTTTTTTTGCAGTTGTAAAAAATGCACAACAATTGTTTTAAAAAAATAAAAAATGTAACGCTATTGTAATAACACTTTTTTGAAATTATAACACCATTATAAGTGTTCATATCCTAACCGAGACCCAAAACTTATAAGCTTACAGACTCTATCAAATGTTGAGTTATTATACACTACAATAAAAAGTCAGACTATTTTAAGAAGACTGATGTAAATTGGGATATTCTCAAATAATTTTTCGAAATGTATTTTGGTATTAAATTTCCAAAAATGTCCTTTGATGTGATGAGTAAAAGTATGATTTGATGGATAGATTATTAGTAAAAAGGTATGATATGATAGGTAGGGTATGAAAAAGTAAGGGGTAAAAGTGACTTTTTAATAGAAATGAGAAGTGTTTTTTGGGACGGAAGAAAAAAAAAGGAGAAAGGTTTTCTGGGACGGAGGGAGTATATGTCAAACTGTGACATTCTTTTGTTATACTCCTTCCGTCCCTAAATATTTGTCACACTTGTATTCCCAAGACAAAATATCAAGTTTTTTCAATTCATTTTATTTACATATTGGTATAGAAATAAAAAATAAAATTTACATATCAAAAAACTACATGAAAACTTCTTCGAAATAAGAGGTGTCAAGAATATTTTATTTTATCAAATAACCAATGAAAACGTAGGAATACACAAAAGTTTCCGCGACTACTCAAAAAGCAAACGTTGTAAATAATTTGGGACGGAGGGAGTATATAGTCGGTAAAGATATACTTGAATTGGTCGTTATACTTATATCTCTATCAACTAGGAGTAGTATTTCCTTTTAATGGGTACATATTTGATTCTTATTCCTCCACATCAAAAAGTCAAAGAAATGTATTGGAAAGCTGACATGAATATATGCATCATATCCATGCATGCAAATATTTCAATTCGTCCAATAAAATTTTTCAAAAACAAAAAAAAATGTAACCTAAAAGTGAATTATTTCGATATATTCTAGTTTATTTTTTTTAATTATATATGACACATCAATCTCACATATCCTATACCATCTTAATTACTATAATGTAAGAGCAAATTTATACAATAATTTCAAACTTAAACATTTTTAAGGTGCCTCTTTTTTCATCTTTGATTTTTTCTTCATGAGGATGAGGAAGTACTCCCTCCGTCCTAAAATTAATTTTCCAGTTTGACTTTTGTAGTCAAATTTTTTAAACTTTGACTATATATCACGGAAAAAATACATTGAATTTTCATATAAACTTATTAGCAATAGATTCATTTTGAAACATAGTTTTGAAATATATAACTTTTATAAAATATATTTATATAAAAATTGAGATATTAATGGTTAAAATATCGTATTGGAGACCGTGAAAAGTCAAATGAGAAGTTAATTTTAGAACGGAGGGAGTAATATTCTTGCCAATTACGACCTAGCTTCTTGCGTCTAAGAAAAAGAATACTTGTACTGTACACTCTAATATTCCCCACGCCTAATTCGCTTCTGGCTGGCTTCTTATCTACTCCCTATATATATAAACCCATCAACTTAATTAATTAAGCCCATAATTATATATATATATATATATATATATATATATATATACATACTTCAATTCCATTACTGCCCTCCAATTAATTTCTCTGTGCTAATCACATCATCATCTTTATTTGTTTTTGCCCCAAAGCATTAATTCATTACGTACTGCAATCAGATGGCCATAAAGAGCTACGCCCGGAGCGCGCCGTGCAACGGGAAAATGGACATGACTTTGGAAGAGTTCAAGAAATGGGTGAAGAGTTTCGACGAAGACGAGGACGGAAAGATCAGCAGGAGCGAGCTGCAGGAGGCGATCCAGGCCGCCGGCGTCCGCTTCTCGTGGCTGCGCGGCCGCCAGGGCATGAAGGCCGCCGACCAGAACGGCGACGGCTTCATCGACGCCGACGAACTCGCCAAGCTCGCCGATTTCGCCCAGAACCACTTGAATGTCCGCATCGTCACCTATTAATAATCTTTTCATTTCATTTCTTCCACACACGCACACACATATATATAATATTAATTTGCTGCGTGCATGTAACATATGCCTTTCATGCACGTACATGCATGCATGCGTGACAAACATACGGATCAAAATGTCTACAGAGTTTGTCACGCACAAATATTTAAAAAAAATAAATAAATTCCATCATAGGTATGACGATCATGATGAGGATGTTCATAAAAAAATGTTGATTCGTGTTGTTTGTCATATTGCATATACTGGGAGTTTCTATTAATTTGTTTCAATCTATTTGTATTACGCATTACATAAATATTGGAGTATATTGTGATTTTTTTATTTATTTCTGTGAGGGGTAGTGCTCATTTGTTTTATTGAGTTTATTTTCACATCAATTAGTTTAAATAAATAAGCGTATGGTACAACATACCCCCTCTATTCTCAAAAATACTTTTCTTTTCATTTTATCCACTTGCAACAAAATACTTCTATTTTTTATTAAAAAATCACTTTTATCCTTATTTTTTCATACTTTACCTATCACTTCATATTTTTTTCTCTAATAATCTATCTATTACATCTTATTTTTGTCTATGACATCAAAGACAAAATTGAAAGTCAACTACAATTTAATATTGCCTCCGTCCCAAAAAGTTTGTTACGTTTAGAAAAAACTGCGTCCCGTAAAATTCGTTACATTTCTATTAAAAAACCACTTTTACCCCTTACTTTTTCATACCCTACCTATCACATCATACCTTTTTTCTAATAATCTACCCATCACATCAAGGGTATTTTTGGAAAGTCAATACCAAAATACCCCTCCCTTAATTTCCCAAAAAGTCAAACCGTCCCATTCTTTTTGGGACGGAGGGAGTAATTCTTTATTTTTACACTTGGTCAAACTATGAATCATTTTTAAGAACGGAGGAGTATATAACGGTATTATGACAGTATTATTTTAACACAAATAAGCACATAATGGAAATAAGTTATTAATTTAATATTCCCTCCGTCCTAAAACTTTCTTCCCAGAGCACTATTCCAACTTCACGAGAATTTATATTTATTTGTGTTTTTTCATGGCCTATATGATAAAATAAAATATTCTTGTCACCACTTGTTTTGTTGAACTTTTGATGTAGTTTTTAAATATATATGTTTTATTTTTTATTTCTATACCAATATTTAAATAAATTAAATTGAAAAAATTTGGGATTTTTCTTCGTTTTGCGCAACGGGAAAAAAGTTTTTGGAAAACAAACTGATAAAAAAAAGTTAATAACAAAAATAAAGTTTGACCGGTATAGAGTGGAGTAGGAATTAATAGGGTAAGTAATAACGTTCCGTAATTAATAAGGGCGGGGACCAAGTGTTTAAAGCAACAATAAATCAATAAATCCATCAATCCAATTTTAATGGGTAAAATTACGTGTTTAGATTTAAACCTACACCCAACCCCATATTTGGAGTATTTCTTACTATTTTGTTTTCATTGAGTATTTGTTCAATTATCCCATGTGCAATTGAAATTAATAAAGTTTGACCATCAACTAAGAAAATTTTTATAAAACTTGAATACGTAAAATTTATATCAATTTTGATACCAATTTTGATTAACCGTAAAAAAATTATAACAAGATAAATAACCAGAAATAGAATCAGTGCTTAGAGGGTATGTGGGAGTCTGTTTCAAAACAGTTTTCGAAATCTACTTCATTGAAACACATTTTTAAGTGTTATCCGATCAGCTTTAGATTGTGGATTGTGATTTCAGAAGTGTATATTATGCTCCAGAAGTGATTTTCACCAAAGCTCGTAGTAATTGTTCTCTACTTTTGGTTTAGCACATCTATTTTTTTAAGACTCACGACACTTACATACACCCTCTTAGTAGTCTAGTATAAAGTATCGAGGTGGTACTATGACATTACCCGACAATGTCATGAAATAACCCAGGGTGCTTCGGTATCCCGTTTGTAAAATTGACGGTTCCCACCCTCTAACCATCCACCCCGACCCGATCCAAACACACCACCACCCCCTTCCAAAGTCAAAATTAACTTGGGGGTGTAATTGAAGGGGGTGGGGGTGTATTCGTAGAAGGGGAGAGGGTGGGGTGGAAGGATTTATCAAAAAGATTAGAGAATAGGAACAATCAATTTTACGAACAGAGCACCAAAACACTTCCTGATCATCTCATGACATTACCTAACATTTACTCTATGACTCTTTGTCGAGCCTTCATTTGATGAGGCCGAGCTATCAAGTGGAAATAATTTCATCTGGGCCTCTATATATCAAGCCCAATCATGCCTTGCCCGCATTCTAGCCTCTTGTTCCCAAACATTTTGGAGTACTCAAATTAGCTTTTTTATGAAATTTAAGTAGAACTTTAAAAACAAAAAAAAAATGTATTCTCTCCATCGCACTTGATTTTTTACAATTATTATTTACATGATGAAATTATTAGAAAAAAACTTATATATCATTATATAAAATAATATCATGTGATCTATTGTGTTGCAGAGAGTCACTCACAAGATTTAACTCTTTTATGAAAAATATATAACTTTAAAATTCTTTTTGTACGAGAAAAAGAAATCTTGTGGGTTACATGCATGCTTAGAACTATAGAAATAATGTAAATAAGAAATACATTTTGAATATTCAAAAAAGAATAGAATATGTTAAAGAGTATCCCATATCAAAATTTGAAAAGAAAATAAATAAGTATATAAGCTCTTGAGTTGAATTAAGTAATCGATTAGATTCAATCTTTTAACGTGGTTTAACCTAAATGGCGTATGGCCCAGTCCAGTAGTCTCTATTCTATCTTAAATTCTAATTCTTGTGTTTATTTAAAATGAAATGTGTTGATAAGATTTATCTTAAAAAAAATCATTTAAAAAAATTGATTAATGGAAAAGAAAAAAATCTCACCCACACGATTTTTTTATTTGAAATTAATGCAAAAGAAAAAAATCAAGTCAAAAAAAGAATACAAGAATAGAATTTAAAAACGTGGAAGTATAATTCGTCATGGTTCCCATGTCAATATAATGTCCTATGCCCAAGTTGCTCCGGTCCGTACACCACCGGTTCGGCTGGTTGATGCATCAGTATAACTTTGTCGGGTACCCCACGTTTTAAAGACACAGACTAATGTCCTCCAAATTGTCCCAATCCTTTTTTTCCGGTGACAAGTTTTATGAGTAAATTTATGAATGATATACGAAATTTTAGTATTATTTTATATTTATATATAAACTTTAAGGGGTTGTTTGGTAACTTCTAAATGGGTAAGTGCTGAACCAGTAAGAGGTCTGAACCATTAAGAGCTAGTATATTGTTTAACTATTCAGAGGCAAATGTCTGATCAATTCAGATAAGAGCTCTTAACCATTCAGACTCTGTATAATACTTAACCATTCAGAGGCAAATCTCTTAACCATTCAGACATCTGAACCATTAAGAGGCTGAAACAAACAGTCTGAATCATTAAGTGCTGAATCATTCAGACATCTGAACCATTAAGAGGCTGAAACAAACAGCCTCTAAGTCATATTATTTCTCTATCTGATTATTTGTCTAATTTTAAGTTTTTATAGTTAATTATTTTCAACATTGACATATAATTAAATAAAATATACTCAGTATATTGTATATTAATTAGATAAAACAATACTTTAAAAATATTTTATATTATAAATCAAAAAAATTGTATCAATATCCTATCAAATATCACTTTCATCTAATTTGGGTCAAATTTTGCCATTTTTATGGGGATTTGTTTCAAACTTCTTTCACCCATAAGGATATGAGGTGTGTCATGCGTGAAGGGAATTGAATATTTTTAATTACCCCATCTATGCCTCTCTTCACCGCCATCCGGAGAAAACAATTTTACCGAAAGAATCTCTCTCTCTCTCTCTCTCTCTCTCTCTATATATATATATATATATATATATATATATATATATATATATATATCTTTGAATTTGAGTTTTTTTCTTCATTGTGTATGTATATGCAATTGATGGTGAAACCGGTAATGACGACGAACAAGTTGTAGGCATGAATTATATTTCGTTGGTTCTTGACATACTCCCTCCCTTTGCAAAAAGACTTCTCATTTTGATTTGGGGCAAAAATAATGAAGTGTTAAATTATAATTAATTTCCAATTTTACCCCTGATGTGATGGGTAAAAGTAAGATGTGATAAATGGTAGATTATTAGAAAAAAAGTATGATGTGATACGTAGGGTATGAAAAAGTAAGGGTAAAAGTGAGTTTTTAATAGAAAAGGGAAGTATTTTGTTGGAAGAGGAAAAAATGAAAGAGGAAGTGTTTTTGAGAACGGATGAAGTATTACCCTAGAGTCTATCCATTTGACACTTCCTGTCTTTGCCAACTACGCAACGCCCACCGACCTTTATTTTATTTTCAAATTCGAAGGAGTCTTAGATTCAAATTCTATAATGGTGCGTTTGGGAACTAGAATTTGAAAAACGTTATAAATGTAATGAAAAATGTTGTAAAATTCAAAGTGTTATAAAATTAAAAATCAAAATTACACATTTTAAACTACATAAAAAGATCCACGAAACTAAAAATGATATGGCTATTCTATTTTATCAAATTGACAATAAAAGTATGCAAATAAAGTGAATAAAATTTGAATCTGTAAATAGTGAAGGAAAAGATTTTTTTTGGATTGAGAGGTAGGTAATTTTTTTGACCCTGTGAAAATTTTTGTACTGAAATAAAATACGAGTACGAAGTAATGTTTGAAGTCATACTCTCTCCGTCTCTTAAAATTTTTTCACCTTTTTTTTCCTTGTCCCACAAACTTCTTCAATTTTTTATATTTAAAAACCACTTTTACTCCCAATAATTCTTACCTTACTTATCGCATCATACTCCCTCCGTCCCACTATATTTGTCCACTTTCATTTTTGCACACCATCCAATACACTTTTTTAATCCATTTTATCTTGTAATTTGTATATAAAAAAATTATAGAAATTATATATTAATAATCTATATGTTAAGACAAATCAAACAAGATCACGCATGACTATATTTAGGCTTACACATTGAGAGAATTTGATGAGTCAAAATGCTTAGATGAACAGTTCCAAAAGTCAAAAGTGGACGAATATAGCGGGACGGAGGAAATATCTTTTTATCAATAATCTAGCTGTTATATCTTACCTTTACCCATCACAGGCATCAGATCAAGGGTATTTTTGGATAATCAACACAAAAATATCACTTCTTTAAATTCTCAAAAATTCAATAAAAGAAGAACTTTAACATTATGTTTGGTTCAAGGAATTAAGGAAGAAAGGAAAATGACAAGGAAAAGAAAAGAAAAGAAAGGAAACTCAAAATTCTAGTTATGTTTAGTTAAGATGGAAATTGACGAGGAAAATGATGTTTGGTTAAGCTTGTTTGAACTGGAAGGCAGAGAACAAAAAACAAAGACTTCAAAGTAGATATAGAACTGAGAAGGAAGAACTAATTTTTATTCACTGATCTGTAGAGCTATTTATAGAGCTCTAAACATAAAAACAGACGGAGATAAACTTCAACAAATTAGAGATCCTAAAAATCCTCTCCACTAACCATGACTTATTCCACTAACAGTAATACCAAAATAATAGGAATAATGAAAATAACCCACAAGGACTTAGTCTATGATGAGCTGTCAATTATGAATCAACAAACTTTAATCAACAAAGCTTTCTTCACCACCAATCCCTTCGCCACACGCGGATTGCTCCCCCGATCACATATTACAATCTTGCCACTGACTTCTTTGGGGTCAAGTGAATTCTCCATACACACTGAAGCAGAGAGCATCCCAGATTTGCCGGGGAATACCAAGGGATACATTTTGTCCTTCAATGGAGACCCCGCGTACAGTGATACCCCAGAGAACTTCCTCCAGTCGCTCAGGATTACTTCCGCCGGGAATTTCCGATCGATCGTGCCGGCTCCCACCGTCAGCAGCCACGGAGCAACGTTAGTGACAGACATGAGGTTAGGTCCGTCGTTGCTGACGGATGCGGCCACAAGCACACCTCTCGAAACGGCGACGTATGCTCCTATGGAGATAGGATCGAGGTAATTGGGAGGAAAATGATTTTGCCTTTTTTTAATTTATTTTCTCCCCACTTTTCTTTTACTCTCACTTTTCCTTTCTTTTTATCACTAACCAAACATAAAAAAACATTTCCCTCCTATTTTCTTTTCTTTTCCCAGCCAAAATCCTTGAACCAAACATAGTGTAAATGCTTGGAGTAATTGTAGATGTGATACTAAAACAAGCAATTAAGTACTCCGTAATCCGTTGTAATCTTGAACTTGATTTCTCTATTTGATAATCCTTGTAATTAAGTACTCCGTAATCCGTTGTATTTGGCAAACTAAAACACTTTTCTTTTCTTATATGCATGCTATTGAACAAGAATCTAACATTTGTCCACTACCGTCCAAACTCAATAATTTTATTTGTCAAAATAACTATAAAAAATCAAATTAATACACAATTAATTACGCTCCTTCCGATAATAGGTACACGAATCAAATTACGGCCTTGTTTGGAAACTGCGTTTTCGATTAGCGTTAGCATTTTAAATCAAATTTTAATGGTGTGGATTATTTTTTGTAAACGCAAACGCTAAAGGCTATCGTCAGATAACCTTTTTAAAATGGTAACGCTAATCTCTAACGCTGATGTCAAACAGAGCATGAAGAAGCTAATAATAACTAAATATTCCAAAAAAAATATGAAAAATCATTAATTGGCTATCTAGCTAGGTAGATTGTATGAACAAACATCTCATTTATAAATATAGAAAAATCAACAGGGCCCACTTAACAGATAATCCAAAGAAAGATTCAAGCAACAGTAGCATTGGATTTCCTCTGGTCTTCTCCTTCTTCAACCGCAATGGATTTCTTGCAATGAGCAATGGCAGCTTGGATGGCGGCTTGCAGCTCCTCCATCGTGCTTTCTGAAGGCGGCGGACGGGGCGGCGCCACCAAGAGGCCGCTGTTTGTGGGCGATGTTCTGGTGGATGCCGGTGCAGAGTACTCCCCTACTCCCAACCCCCGGCCGCCCCCCAACGTCGCCCCCGATCTTTTGTTGACGATATTGTTATCACTCCGGCTCGCTCTCGCCACTCTTATCGTCCCGGAGGAAAACGAGTGCGCCTTCCGGTCAACTTCCACTTTTCTCCGGCCACCGCCGCCGCTCTTGAAGGACGACAAGAGCGGTTTCATCATCCTCACGTACCTTTTCACGGCGTGGGCTATCTCAAATTTAAGCTTCTTCCATTGTTTCTCCTTGTCGTAGTCGTCTTTTTCTTCCTTGTCTAGATATGAATGACTGAGCCCCTTAATAACAGCCGGATCGGTTTTTGACCGTTCCGTCTTGTTCTTAAGGGGAAGTTCCTTTTTCCGCTTTGACAAGCGAAAAAAGGAGAAGGGAGATTTGGGTTTTGAATCTTTATTGGATGGTTTAGTGTCTCTTTGGGGTACTAAATGGGTAGTTGTTGTGGAGTTTTGGAAGTTCTTTATGATGGGAAGGGTAAAACTGTCAACTGAGTTGGTGGAGGAGCGAGGGGAGATTGGGAGGTGGGATAAGAGGCGGAGGGGGAGCAAGTGGCCGTGCAAGAATATATCGTCCGCCGGAGATAAGTCGGCGGCGGCGGTGAACGATGGCGTGGAGGGCTTGGTTTTGGGTCCGTCGGCGGCGGGGATCTCGGCGGAGGATGGATGGAGGGATATGGTGAAGGAGAAGTCGTCGTGGGAGGGAGAGGAAGAGGACGACGACGAAAGCGGCGGCGACGCCAAGCTGCCTCGCGGTGTACTTGTGTTATTATAAGTCGACGGCGGCGGCGGCTGCGGTGGCTCTTCTTGCTTTGTGGCTCTCCTAGTATGGATATCTTTCGTTATCATCGTCATAATCAATCTTGAAATTGTTTTTCTCTATGGTTTAATAATTGTCTTCGGATTTGTCACTACTTATCCTCGATATGATCAATTGTGTGGTGTGTGCATTATTATATGTGCCATATATGGCTAGCTCGATATAATGTTATGTGAGGCTACCCCTCCTAAATAAATAAATAACGCATCCCAATTTTACCCTTTCCCCAAACCCTTCGTACCTCCTTTCATATCCGTACCTAAAACAAAGACAATAATGGTGCACCATATGATTTTTACCGAATATTACATAGAAACAATATGATTATTTTAGGATGAAGTAAAAAGAAAAAACTAATAATTAAAAATAGGACTAAACTTTTTTTAATGTACAGGTTTTGCTTTTCTTTCTTACATCGCTTTTAGAATACGTCAAAATTAAAAATAAATTCAATAAACTCATAATGTGAATCAAATGATGTTTTCTATCTTTTGGAAGGAGTTGATGAAATATATATATTTTAGTGTAATTGACTCGATTTATTATACGCAATATATTAATTACTCGGTATTTTTTTTCTAGCTAGGGAACTGGTGAAACCTGCATGATTTTGAATAAAATAATTAAAATTTGGCATGGCTTGGCGGGTCCATTTCAGACACAAACAAATAAGCTGTACAATGGGTTGTAATCTGATAACTTAATTAGCTCGGAAATGGTGCAGCTGGTCCCTATCTTTTGCCAATAATAATAATAATAATAATAATAATAATAATTTGTTTTGTGAATCTAGTGTTACTCCTTCCATCCTAAAATGATATTCTCAGTTCAGTTTACGAAGTTTGATTGAAACTATTTTCAATTCAATGTATTTAATTATATATACATGTGTTAACTTAAAAAATAAAAATTATATATTTTTAAACTAAATCAAAAGTTCTACAAAACAAAAGATAACATGATTATATTATTTTATCAAATAACTAAAGAAAATAGATAAAAAAAAAGTAATTAAAATTTGACCATGTGAATAGTGACTAAAAGATCATTTTGAGACAGAGAGAGTAATATATATGAATGCCTCAACTCCTTCTCCTTGTAGTGAGCTACCCCATCACTGTTTTTTTCTTTCTCATAAGTAGAAATTTGTATTCTACACCTTTATGATTAAATGTTACTCAGCTCTCTCCAAAATATCCAAACCTTATATTATTATTAGAAATATTTGCACTAAATAGGACTAAAATTTAAGTCATTTTCTTAAATAGCACTTAAACTGTTTTATTCCCTAAATAGCATTTAATAATGTCCATAATATCCAGTGATAGCGAATATATACTTGAATAATGACTGATGTATAATGACTAAAAATGCTACATTGGGAAGAAAAACACATATGGTGCTATTTAGAGAAAGTCATTATGTTTTAGTGTTATTTAAAATATTTAATTATAAGGTTTGGATATTTTGGAATACAATTTAGGGCCTGTTTGTGAATAGCATTAGAATTTTGAATAAAAATTTCAATGTTGCAGATTACTTGGAAAATGCTACGCTGAACGTAAATAATTTTTTCAAAACGCTAACGCTAATCTTGAACGTTATTCCCAAACAGGTCCTTAATAATTGCATAAAGAAAATTTGTGATAGATTCATTGTCTCAAACAGAATGGGATGGACGGACCCATGGGAGGCTGGCCAGTAGAGTGTGGGGGATATATATACATATATTCATACGGCCTTTGCTTCTTCAAATCCTATTTTTCTAAGTCTTTCGTTGGACCCCTTTGATTAATTAGGTAGGTAGTTTGTTAGCCTCAAGGTTTTTTTTTCTCTTAATAAAAATACTCTCGATTAGTTTTATTTGCGAATGTTTTTTGATTGACGATTTGATAAAATATTTTATTTTTGTCATCACTTCTTTTTTTATGGCCACATGCTTAAAATATAACTTTTTTTCAATACTAATTTGTAAATAAAATTAATTTAAAAAGATTATATTTTAATTTACACATTGTTCGAAATTAAACAATTTTTTGGGAGATCGGAGAATATAATAATGATAATGATGATGATAATGATAATAATAATATAATACTGTAATAAATGCGTAGGGACTTAGATCACAACACACCAACAACTAGTTTGGCCCAAAAACATTACCGAGTACTTAGTTTGATTTTCATTGTTTGAGAAAAATTCAATTATCAAAAAACAAGAAATTATTTTTTATTTTTCCGTGTAACATAAACAGTCATAATAAATACGCTCTCTATCCCGAAATACTTCTCACATTTGATTTTTCACGCTCTTCTATTAATATTTATATTTATATCTAGATATATTCTATAAAAATTTGATATTTAAAAACTATGTTTCAATAAGAATATATTGATATTAAATTTATATCAAAATACAATGTATTTTTTCAACATATCGAAGTCAATATTTACAAACTTTGACAGAGAAAAGTCAAATGAGAATATCATTTCCGAACGGAGGAAGTATATACTTGGAGTGTGTGTGTGTGTGTGTGTATGTATGTATGTAAGTATATATGTATGTATGTATATATGGATGTATGTGTGTGTGTGTGTGTGTATATATATATGTATGTATATGTATATGTATATGTGTATACACACACACACACACAAATTTCATATCATGCTCAAAGCGTGTCAAAAACTTAAACATGCATTACTCAAATAATATTAAAACAGAAGTATATTTTTGTATAAAAAACACAATGCTAAAAGGTGAAGATTTCGAATTTTAAAAGATCAGAAACACGAAGAATAAAAGATGATGAATCTAAATTTTAAAAATAATGAATTTCTTCCATTCATACAATATAGAACTAAATATTAAAAACCCTAAAAAAAATGCTCATAGTAGTTATAGTATAATTATAATAACAAGAATAATAAATTTAAAAAATATTTTAAAAAAACGGAGTACAATACAAAGTACTCCATATTTGGTAAGATGTAATAGACAAATAAGTTTGACATACTCTATAGATAGCTTTGAACGATTCGATCCGTGATAATCGATTTTAATTTTTTGTATCACGATCTCGTCTCATATAATCTCAATTCGGTTTTGATTCAAGATGAAAAAAATCAAGCCCGTTTAAAAACATTATATCTAAACGATTTAGTACTATTACAATGTGGTGACTGGTGTGATACCATGTTAGTTCGATTTTTTAGCCCACACCAAAGCTTTGCACGTGAAATACTATTTTTTTAATTGAGTGTGTTTGCGTTTGAACACATTGACCAAAGTTATTAAAACTTTGATACATTAATTACCATGACACTAGCCCAACTAAAACTTTAAATTTAAATGTACTTTCAGGTTTTTTTAAATACTTCTTCCGTTCCAAACAATGTCACACTTAGTTATTCAAAAATTACGAGAATTTTTATTTATTTTTATGTTTTTATTAATTATTTAATAAAATAAAATATTATCATCATCTCCGGTTTTTATAAAATCATTAACATAACTTTTAAATATACTCCGTAGAAGTTTTATTTTTTATTTTTTACTAATTTTTAAATAAAATGAATTAATAAATAAAAAAAAATTGGGTCAAGACAATGGGGCATTGGTTTTTGGGTGGTAAGGCAATGGCTAGCAAAATGGTAAAGAAAGTGAGACTGGAGGTTGATGTGAGTGGTCACACAGTTTGGTGAGTTGGTTGGAAGACACACACGTGTGTAATAAAGTGGTCCATGGGATGGGCTATTTAGCATCCAGACGTTTTTGTAGAGAAAAAAAAAGCTAAGCCTTTTGTTTACTCGCCAAACGTCAACATCACATTGCAATCATGTGTGCATTATTGCTACAAAAAGTTTGGGTAGACAAAACTATAAAAGGATGATGAGCCTCGTCTCGGAGGATCTCTCACGTTTGTATTTGGTACATACAGAGACCTTATGCTTAGCATAGTTAGCTCTCAGTACAGTTGTCATAAATCAAATTTTGATCTACCTCCTTGACGCTCCTTAATATGATCTTGTACACTAATTTTTCCACTACTTACTTTTTGTTGTGAATAAAATAATTGAGGAGCAAATAAAAATACAGGGTGGTAAAAGAGTCATGTACAAGTTAATGTATTTCCTCCCGAAGTATTCGTTCACTTTTGACTTTTTTGGTCTTAATTGGTAAATTTTGACCTCAAATTAAATAAAATGATATTGAATATTGATCCAAAACTTTTTATTAGATTTATTATCTAAAATATTTGCAAAATATTTTTTTATCTAATTATATACAATATATATATATTTATTTTACTTATAGGTCAAATATTAAAATCGATTCACTAAAAAAAGTCAAAACTGGACAAATACTCCGAAACGGAAATAGTATAATTTAGTATACGTCTAGCATTGGTCTATGTAATCTAACTAGGTAATATATATATCAAAAAATTGATTGTACGATATTTCACATACATGCACAGTGAATACTCATTAATAACAAAATATTCATTTTGCATAAAAAATTAAATAATAACCACATATTTTTTATTTTTCAAATATTTTTTGAACTTCATGACCTGAAAACCCAAAATTTTATCCTACAACACTGGGTATCTTTATTAATATTTTTTTCTAAGAAAACTGAGTACTAATGTGTAATCTAAAGGGTGAGAGGCAAAGGTAGAAAGGAGAAAATAAGTGGAAGAGAAAAAGACATTGCCAAAATGTCATTTAATAACCCTATTTTGGGACATAATAGTCTCAAATTTGATTTCAACTGAAACCCAATGTCATTTCCTATCAAGTTGTATAAGAGAAGATTCACTATTTCATGAATAAATAAACTTAAATATAATACTCCTTACAGAAGGTATCCTTATCTATACATTCAAGAAAATAATTAAACTACAAGAACCATTATGATCATATATGAAACATATAAAACTCTAAGGGAAAAAACCCCAACCCACAAATCCTAACAAAGCTTTCCCACATGACAGATTTAGACTGAAATGGTTCACTCATCAACCATTAAACTCTACAGAAAGGGTTAAAACACCAGTTAATGTATTCCAAGTGCTATTTATTATCAAGCTCATAAACATCTCCAAATACTTACAAGAACTCGTC